GGGGGTGAGTAGAAAATGAAGGCTAATCATGTTTTGGGTGTACTATTCCTTTAAATCCAGATTTGTCCACATCAGTCTACCTGTCAGAAGATATTTTGCAGCCATCGCAGCTCTGGCAGTGCAAAGCTCTGCTCTGCAGCTTCAGATCATATTTATTACATTCAATGCAACCGCACACACCATGAACTTAGCATGTGTTGAAGCTGATGTTAAAACAAACCTGCTAACAGCTTACCATGCATTCCTGCATCACATCAGGTGCCTCTTAACAACAGCGTTACAAGCACTTCATTAAGGGAAAGGCCCTGCTGGGTGACACTGAACTGAACCATCTATGCAGCCAATAATTACAGAGAACAAACAACATAAATATAAAAAACATCCCCATCCAGCAACCTGCACTGAAATATGAGGGATTTTAATCTTGGAAAAGATAAAAGCAATGAAAAGGAATTGTCTAATGCTGCATTCAAACCAAAGGTGTTCTGAGCATCAAAAACCAGGGGCAAAGCTAGATTGGGGGCCAGCGTATACTCTGTGATGACAATAACATTTTTCTAAGTCTAAGATGGTCTAAGAAATATGCTATCAATGGACTGAACCTGGACCTCTGCCTTTGCTGGTGTTCGGTTCTAAAGGAAGCAGCTATTAACAGGTAAAACTGCTCCCTGGTGGTGATGCAGAGGTCCAATGATGAGTCGGTACCTATGAGTCCGGCGTAGGCCCGCAGGCAGAGGCCTGTGGAGTCCTTCAGACATCCGCTGGCCGTGAGAGTAGATGGTTGGCAGTTACTGAGGAAATCAGCCAGCCGGGACCTGGCAGAAACACAAACAGCTCCACATCAGATGAGGAAAACACGGCAGCTAATCTGAGTGAAGGAATTCTAGGTCTGTTAGAGAGAAAAGCTTTTATTTGTCCAGTTGTAGTTTTCTTGTTTGTGTCCTACCGCTGAGCAGCCTTTCATTACTGGGTGTTTACAGACGCTTTCCTCATGTCAGGCAAAGGGAAATCCACTCTGATGTCAGGTATGCATTAAACCCACTTTGCAAAGTGGAAAAACAATCCTATCCTCATCAGCCTGGAGCAAAATATGGTGTTGAGCTGATGTTCAAAAACCTTCACAGATAGATGGGCAATAAAAAAAGAAGGTGACTTAATAATCGCTGTTCCATCTACGAGAGGAAACTTTCACATGAACATCACTGAAAATGTTCTTCAGTTGATGAAAAGTCCTGAGACACCTTTTCTCATCTCAGAATTCAGTCACTAATCTATGATTGACCCAGAAGGTGTTTCTGGTCCAGGTCCGGATACCTTCTGACCTGCCAGCACTGAGATGCAGATCGGGGTTTTTTTACAGGCAGGTGCAGAAGCATCCTACAGAAAGTGAAACTACAAGGACAGCATATCAGACCGAGGACAGATCTGGGAACAACCACCACTGCATGAGTCCGGCGTCTACAGAGTCTGTACTCTTTCGGTTTAATCTGCAGCATTTGGTCGCCATGGCGGAGTAGATTCACAAAGTCAGCTCTCTAAAGCTGGGCATACACTATACAGTTTTTTTTACCTTTTCAGGCCGATTCTCAACTGCAAGAATTTTTCATGTAGTATACAGGGGGTAATTAGGGGCCATTGGCCTCTCAAGACTACCTCGCGTAAGGTAGTAAGGTTGGGAGAAAATCAAACATGTTCAGTCGGCTGTCGTGGGGTGGTCGTAGGCAAATGTTGCTGTTGAAGCAGAGCTATGAAAGGATTTACTAGAACCTCGAGCACTGCGCATGCGCAAACAAGGAAGTAGTTCTTCTTCTTCCAGATTGGCAAGTCTGACCAGCACCATCTCTCGGCACTCTCGGAGTCCAAGATGTGGTTTTTGGATGTAGAGTGTGAGCAGGTAGATTGCATCAGAGTGTCTGGTCGCACAGTGTGAGACCGACCAAACATCGTGAGCTGTGAAGGTTTAAACCCTGCGGTTTCGTCGTACAGTTTGAGCTGAAGCTGCATGTGTTGATTGAAAATATCGTACAGTTAATGCCCTGCTTAACTAATGCCATCAGAGTAACATTCCCCAAGGCAGCGTATGGTGCATCACACGCAATGCAAATGAGGCAAATGTTCCACGATGTTCGCCGTTGATTGGTGGACATTTCACTTCTCTCTCATACCACTCAGATGAAGAACGCAGTAAAACATCCCCCAGCTAGGAGGAGTGCATCTATTCGCTGGTTCCATTCGTTTGTTCAACTCAAAATGGCGGACCTTCATCTTACTCAGCGTGTCACGGCCCTCCACCAGATTTAATGCTAGTTTGGCCAGTACTATCATGAGCTGCGACTGGATGACCATCACTTCCAGTGAAGCCTCCATCTGTCCAGTACCCAGAATCAGGACCTAATGTGTATTTTGGAGGACAGATCATCGTCCTCTGGATGAAAAAATTCAGACATTCAAGTCAGACATTCATCCACAAAAAAAATAAATAATTTTCGT